ATCACATCCATATTAGCAAACATACTTAAGCCGATAGACACTCGAACACATATACATGTATTAAAAACAGACCATATGGTACACCTATGTGTACATTAAACGTGTTTTGTGAGGTAATGTTATAATAGTTTATCTTAAATCCATTCTTTCAGCCAAGTGATTTACTTGCTTCTTTTTAGTTATTTTGTTTTATTTTATTTTTTACCAGTCCTGGGTCCTGGGTGCAGTTCCTGAGCTTCTTTTGCTAAAAGCTAGTGTTCTACCATTTGAGCTACAGCTTCACTTCTGGCCTTTTTGGTAGCATATTGGAGATAAGGGTCTCACAGACTTTTCTGCTCTGTTTGACTTTGAACTGCAATCCTCAGATCTCAGCCTCCTGAGTATCTAGGATTACAGGCTCTGGGCCTGGGCCCAGCTCAGCTATGTAATCTTATTCTCTTCTTTCTTTTCTCCCTTACTTGTCTTTCAGTTTCTTCAGTGAAGAATCCCCAGTGATAGCTATGTACAATATATTTAGCGAAAAGCAATGTTTTCCTAACCAAAGTGTCAACTCTCTTGTATCTGGGCTTAGTTCTAGGTCTGTTAAAATGGAGGCCCTTAGCATAATTTAAAGATAGCATCTCAAAAATCATATGCTGTATTTGTGTCTTTTAACTCCGACTCATGCTTGACATTTATAGACATCTGAATATCCATTTTCCTTTATATTTCCTAACAATGACTCTAGTGTGTTTAAACATTGGCATTGTTCCATTAGAGTTCTTTTCCTCTCAGCAGTTAAAGGGGCAAATTACCTCAAGCCTGTTGATTAGGAGACAGGATTAAAGCAGAGTAATTATTTTTTTTCTGTGAACAAGGCAATTATGCAATTGATAAACCAGATAATTCCATAATCTCTACCAAGTTGGTTTATAGTTGCATCAATTTTCTTTTAAAGCTCCTAATAAAACCAAAATTTCAGCATAACCAAGGATTTACTCTTTTGGCTACTTCTGTTATTTAATGCATTCAAATTTAATTCTGATTCTCATAAGCATCCTGCTTCTGTCTCTCAGGATCTATAGTATTGTCTAATATCCACTTGCAATGGCGGCATCAATGAAATGCTCATGTTGGGGCTGCGTTATTACTAAATGAGAGAAATTCCCTATTGGGAATAAATGTGCAAGCAGCCCTTATAGGAGTTGCCATGCACATTTGAACTTGGACTCTATGGTGCTATGAAATGTTCAAGGGACAAAGTGTGAAGACCTCTGGGGAATTTCATGGAAATAGATGAATCTAGTTGTACTTATCACTGGAAGATCTCTTGAGCTGCTAACTCAAATCACAGGAAACCATCTTGCATACACAATGTACCTTTTAATGGCATCAGACTTTCAAACTTAAGTCTTTAGACAGGAAAAAATTAGTTTTCTGAGTATATACAAAGAAGTGGAGTGAATTATTATCTTCTGGTATTTTCTAGTTTTGATCCTCTTCCCCCTGAAATGCTGTAGTGAAATGTATTTATTTCACATTAGGATGAAATTTGTGATATAACCCTAAGTTAATTTCATCTCAAAGAAAATTTCATTAAAATAGATAGTCTTTGTTTCAAAAAGAGAGAAACACAGCTAATACATTTTACCCAGCTTTGAGCATTTCATTAAAAGTATAATGTTCAAAATGACATTTTCATGATAGAATAACCCTGACAAAAAGAAAATCTGATAGAATGGTGAAATAACATCATGATAGATCAACTAAATGTAGGCAAGCCACCAAGTAGGGAAAGAAGTTCACCCATTACTATAAAATCAACATTTGCCATGGTGTTAGGACCAGTTAATAGTAAATGGACATGGCTGGATTGTTATCTGTACTGAGGATTTTTTAAAAAATGTATTTTGATGAGATGCGGTCCAGGTCTTTCTGGATCTTATAGATAGAATTCAGTTGGCAACTCTGACTCATGACTTTGTTTATACACTTGTGCTTCAGTACATCAGAAAAGCTATTTTTTCTTATAGTTTCTAAGAATGTCTCTCAATTACAGAGCCTAAGTCTGAATCATTTCTGGTTTCCTTTTCTAGCTTACATCCATCTTCCTTCTTGTATGTACGCCCATTATGACATCTTTCAGACTCCATCAGGGATACAGGAAAGACATGCAACATTTTACTGACTTGAAAGTATGCAGAGAAATGTATTTCCAATAAGAAAAATTATGCACATGCATTTATTTTTTTTCTCTTGCCCATGCATGGCAACAAGGAAAACAGAAAAATATGTTAATATTTAATAAGACTGCCAGAAAAGCCTGTTTTCTTTTTTTTTTTTTACTTCAAAAGCCCACATTTGGCTTTTGCTTTTGTTCTTGTGATCACATTTTGCCTTTTTCTTTTATTAATTGCTGATATTCTCATTGTCAGCATTATGATGATGATGATTTTTTGTTATTGTAGCTTATTTGCTTTGGAATACTTATAGGGAGACTCTCACTATCCTAAATGCAATTGTATTTCCTAATCACTCTTTCTTTCTACCTACTACATAATTTTTTTCATTGATTTATTACCAAATAGTTATGATGTTTCTAGGTCTCTATTGCCCCTACCTTTTTTCTCTCTTTGGCTAAGCTAGGATCACTTCTATTTGCCACTGTGACTCCTGCCAAATTTCCCACCTCTATTACAATTAATTGGAAACAATAGTCTTCATAGTTGATCTACATTTTCTTCTCTTTCTTGTCTATTAATCATTCTGGGGGGAAATATGAAATGTTTTATTTCATCTCACCACTAAAATTTTTGGTAGGTCTACAATTTTGTGTGTACATGTAAAGAAGGCATCTTTGTCCTGTCTCAAATACAGTGTAGGGTTGACTGAGAAAATATAAATATGCAAACTGGCGATGTTAGATATGTAAACTTCTATAGAAGACCAAGGAAGGGAATTGATTCACCCAGAAACAATGGAAGATCTTTTACATTAGAAAAGCCAAGCTCCCCCAAGTACAAGGAACTTTGGGAGCTATCAAAAAAATTGATCTTATATAGTTTATGTAAATACAGTTTATAAAAGAATAGCAGTATTCATTGAAATGCAGTTCAAGAGGAGAAAAAAACAGTGACATTAATAAATTATAGAATTTTTAGTAATCGCCCCATTTCTCCAAGTCATTGTAGTTAAGGCACTACATAGCAGGTAAATCACAAAAATGTGGTCATGCTTTGGCTAAACCTTTCCTGCTCTGCTCATTTCTTCTCAAGAACCAGGGTAAATGCCATTTGCAAAGAGAGACATCCCCAGAAGAATCAGGAAAAAACCACTAAAAATGATGGTTCATTTCTATGTCACTTAAAGTAGCAATGGCAACTTTGATATTTATTACTTTTTACATTTTGTAAAGGTATCTTGACACTAATGAACAATGAGGTGCTCATAAACGTGAACATTTTTCCATCTCTGGACCGTCTCTTATGAGTCTTTTTCCATGAATAGCTTAATAGAAAATTATCTCTGCATTTTATGAAATACTATAGTGTTTTATCTAAACTTCCTGAGGGCCTTTTAACTATTTCTAATACTACAAGCATTCACACAACATCTTTACCTCTAGAATTATTAATAGGTACACACACACACACACACACACACACACACACAACACCTGTTTCATCTTTCAACTTTCCAAAACATTAAGCAGTTCATATATCGCATATATAGCCCAGGTATTAAATGAGCAATCCCATTGAAAGCTGAATCTTGGCTTTTTCTCAACATATTTTTATTGCAAATATTGACTTCCAAAGCAGTGACCACAAAACTATAGGAAAGGAGACAATGTTGAAGGGTTGTTGGTTTTTTTCCAGGAAAATTGAGCTCTACGCTTCCTGACCTCTTTTGGAAATATTTTTAAATAGGAATACTTGCTTTGCCAATTTTGACATCTTTTCTGGGTATCTTCAGAAGTGTAGCACTTAGAAATAAGTGAATTTGGAACTTAGTTGTAATGCTTATATTTTCCAGCAACAAAAATCAAAACTCAAAGAAAGCAATGCAATTAAGTTGTGAATAAACAAAATCAAAGCAATGCAAAAATTACCACATAATATCTAGACTGTGAGTTTCTCTTTTTATAAAATATTATAAACACCTTATAATGCATTATGTTAAATTAAAATATAAAAACAACCATCATTTAATATATGTATTTAAAATGAAAGCATCACAAGAATTCAATTTTATTAATAATTTTCCTCATAACATTTTTTTCCAAAAGAAAATTAAAATAAACCAAATGGATAAAAGAAAAACTTCGACAGACTATCTAGTACATTTCTGTGACATCAAACAAGAAAAAAATAAAAACTTCTTCCATCTACTTTTCATTAAACAATGAAAATATCTACCATCTTTGGCATGTGCATTTTATAATTCTATAATCTTCTTTATCACCACATAAAAATTCAAATAAATAAATAGAAAGTGCAAACAGGTGGGAATTTAAAATTTCTTAGATATTAAATGGCAGCCTCTTCTTGCAAAGCCCAAAACTTAAAAAGTCCTGGAAATGTGTAAAAGGGCATATTTTATATTGAGCTTTTAACTTCATTTTGAGGTACATACTTAAAATATAAACCAAATATTTTGGTATAGTCATTAAATCTGGCATGCATCCTTATGGGTGTTCATGATAGTCAAGACTATCATTTGCTCTTGTATTCACTTTCAGTCATAGTTCCACTGAAGCCAAAATAGAGATGGTGTTAATCTTTGTCACTAGTATGATTTGTGTAAAAGAGAACCCACAAGGGAAATTCTGAAACATGGCAAGCAACAAGTAAAATTGAAGATGTTTAAATTAGTGACTAATTGAAAAAAATGCTAAAATAAGAGGAGCTGTACTTGTCATTTCTGTTTTAAAATACACAGACCAAATCATTTGCACAATAAACTGTTCAGACATCTAGAATATTCTCAAAGGCTTAGCTTAAGTTTAAAGTAGAACGAACCTTTAAAGTTTGGCCTGATTCTTGCATCATATCCTGATGTCCTTCCCATTAATTTGTCCAAGAAATCTGAAGGAGATAGGGTCTGTGAAGGTTGTTTTCCAGACCTGGAGTCATGGTCTTTGCAGAAAGCCTCCCTAAAGAGATCATTAACTCTTTTAGCAATAATTCCATTCTCATCCACTGAGAACTAATACAGCATATTGAAATGACATTTTGGGAAATATATTTGCTACTTTCATATGGAGAACACAAACGCTATAATCTTTAGAACAACTAAGTCAAGACCCAACAAAATATGTGCTTGAAGAGGGGAGGAGGAGAAAGGGCTAGAAGAATGAAGGGGGAAGGGAGTAGAATTCAGGCAAGAATGTGTTGTATGTGCCACAGAATTCAGAAAAATAAGGGAAATTGTATGTCGGGGGGTGAAGAATTTGAAGGGATGACACAGATATCAAGTGCTTTGTATACATAAATTGTTTTTTGAATGGCAGAACTTCAATACGTAACCTGAAAATGAAGGAAAGAATGGGAGAGGTGGGGGAGAATGTGGAAAGGGTGACATTTGACCAAGAGGCAGGCACTGTATTCATAAACTGCTTTGTGGAATGACAACTCTTTTTTACAACTACCTAAAGAAAAGAAAAATGGCATTAAAAAGGAAGAAAAATAGGAACACTGATCAACTGCTGAACTTGTATGTAAAGTTAACTTTAAAAGAAGTATAAATCCTGACTCATGTCTCCTAAGTTTCCAAACTTTAACCATAAGATATTTGAGATGAAATAATAGATATAGATTTAGGTTGCAGCTTGTATGTATCTATAAAAATTGAAGCTATTTATTTCTAGAATTATTAGACATGTGGAGATGACAATTTTTTAAACTGTTGCAATGATACAAAACTATGTTCTTATACTTTAAAAAATATTGCAGGACTGCATCCTTAAATATAAGTCTTCTCTCTCTCATAAGAAATAAATAAAAAGATGGAGTAAACAAAGTGAGCAGTGTAATCTATTATTTTATACATACATTCTCACCTTCTAGACTATATTCCAGTTGCCAACTATTAGTATTTTTCAATGTGGTGTCTAAAAGAGAACTTTTAGATAGAATTTTAATGTCGTTTTAAAATAGGTAAATAATGAGCATATCTATTGTTTCCATTGTTTGTTATGAGTTGTTATTTGTTTGTGAGTATTCAAATTGTTGACCCTCCAATAAAGTATTAATAAAAATAAACTTCGAAATCACCACTCTTTCGTATTATCAAAAATCAAAAAGTTGATTTGCCATATTTTCATATCTATGTTAAAGTAATAAAGAACTTATGATAAGACCATATTGAGTTTATAGGAAAATTCTTTCGTAGGCATAGTGGTTGATTGTCACTAAAGTATAATTTTATGAGCTTTGTTTTCAACAGTTTAACACTTGTTAATTCTGAAACTGAGATAATGCCACGTTATTGTCAGATTTTCAAAGAAAAGCCTTGAAGTACAAGAGCTAAGATGATATAAACATTTATTAGGAGTAAACGTTGATGTAATTATCAAGAAATACTCACATTCACATATGCAGATTCATCTTATTAATCAAGGGTTATTTGATTATGATGGTAGTGGAATGATGATGATAATGATGATGATGATAGTGATGATGATTCTAAAGAAACCCAGCCTATAATCTCTCTTAATCATAGTAGGACATGTGAACCTGAAAGGAACATAGTAGGATTTTCCCAGTATCCATAGCATTATTTCTATGTGTTCCATTTCTCTTGATTCTGTGAAAAAATACCATAAAATTTGATAAAAAATTAAATGAAAGGTCCTATACTTTTTATAAGAGCATCTTCTATCTCGTTCCTGTCTTAGACTCTCTGCCTGCCATTAGGTGGTTATTTCAGTTACTGATAATAAAATTCATATTTTAAGGTACCAATTGATTTGACAATTAGAAAAATATGCAAGAATCCACATAGGCAAATAATGATTTCTCACTTATTTTAACTATACATCCCCTATTTCTCATACAGGCACCAATACATAGATGTCATTTTAATTAAAATTTGATAAGCAATCAATTTCCAAAGTGAATAGAGTAGTAAAAAGAGATTTTTGATACTTTAAGAAAATTCATGAAACATAATCCTCATAGTATGCTTCTTTTAGTTGATGAAATATAATAGAAGTCCCAAGTTGGCTGAGAATCAGGGTTCTTTTATATTTTATATAAAATGAGCATGCTCCAGGGAAATTAATCTAATCAACTCCACCATATGAAAAACATTACACCCAATGTTCCCTTTAAATCACTTCCAGAAGAATTTGAAAGAAAAATGATTAACCTTATATAGAAATATAAAGAGCATGCAACTCATCAGACTACCTTTGTATCGCATTGACTGTGAAAATGTGTGTGGAAATACCTAGAGTACAGCTATGCAACATAAAACTTGCTTTTGTGATAATTTGCCACCCTCCCACCATAATTAATCTTTTTTAATGAACAAAAGAAATCCAACTCTCTTCTCCAAAATTAAAATAGTACAATCCAGATCACCCCAAAACATAGATAATTGCATGATACTCTTCGTTCGCAACAGTTTTCATGTGGAAAATATCAGCATGCAAAGTCGTTTCACCTACCTGAAGTGGTTTGTCTCTAAGAAAAATGCAAACAAGGCTGTCAAAATGTTCACTAGCTGCCGGTTCATTCCTGTTTCTGTGATGCTTGTGGAAAATATTCCGAAATGATTCCAGAAAGAAGCTAGGACAAAGTATCTATTTATTGTCCAGATTCGAAATCTGGCAGGAATCTAGTTTCCTTGAAAATCAAAAAGAGATTTGGGGCTGTGTAGTTTGCTGAGAAAAGACAAAAAGTGCCAGTCCTGGGCATCATGGTCAGGTCAAACCGAGGCTCAGGACCATCAGTTAGCCCAGGAAAGACAAAGCCTCAGAACTGATGAATCCCCCAGCTGCTTTTCCTGTATAATAAAAATGCTGCTACCTTAATCGCATCACCATGCAAAGGGGGCTGGTGACAATGCCATGCTGGAAGTCGGGTGGCTGTGGCTTTTGTTTTCTATAGCAAAACCCTTTCTTCCAGAAAATGTTCTCTTTTTAAAAGAAGTTGTAAATGAGGGAGAGAAAAAGACTCTGTGCGCTGGAGTGTTTGAGGGAAAGAGGGAAAAATTGCTGAGATCCTGTGCTGGAATGAGGGCTACTGAAAGAGACGGAGACGTGATCTTACCCAGCCTATAAATTTCAGCACTCGGACAGCTCCTAGCTCTGAAGTGCGCATGTTTCCCTTTTTGGTAGCTTGGGGCGGGGGTCGGGGAGAAGCATTCTAGAGGGGACGTGCCTGCCGAGAGTGACTGGCCATAGTGACAGGGGTGCGATGACAATAGAGGGGCACAGAGGTCAGAGGAGAAGAGGGAGGGTGAGCAAGTCTAGGGTGTGAGCTCCTGGAAATGTTAGTCTGCGGGTGGGTGGGCGGGACGGGAGTTGGAAAGCGGAAGAGAGAAGGGAATAAGGTTTAGGCACGAGGAAAGAAAACTGCGGACACAGAGAACATGGTTCAGAATACTGAGATTATAATAAGGGTGTGGGTAGCTCACTCCTTGTCAGTGGAAGCCGGAGGTAAAAAAAAAAAAAAAAGAGAAGTCCTGTGCTGAAGTATAGAGGACATTTCTTTGGCATAGAGAAGGAATAGCGTGTGCAGGGAATGGTTCGTGAGATCACTAATTTAATTTAACATCCCTTTACGACTTCCTCCCTTCTTGAAGGCTTTTGTTTGATTTTAGCCGCTTCTGCTTCTTCCCAAAGGATCCCTCTTCCTATGGATCAGGGGAAAGCCCCTTAACACTAAGCTTTCTTCAGTGGCTCAAAATCCTTGGGAATCTTCTCTTCAAGTCACATATATAGGTAGAGGAGTAGAGAAGGAAAAGACAGCGAGCCAGCAGGGGGCAGTAGTAATCTTTTCTCCCTCGGTTAAAGGTTAGAACTGGGCTCCAGGTTAACAATGGAGCAAGGAAAAGTGAGACTGAGGCTTTCATCTGTCCATCCGAGATGTTAATCACCCACAAGGATCATGTAACAACACGTAGAGCTTCTATACTGGCTAGAGAGTCTGAAAATACAGTGAAAGTTTATAAGTCCAGTGCAAAAGTGTGACTGATAACATTGTCATCTCAAATTGGGAGAAACAATATGTGTTTCAACACAAGTAATTAGCACCTTTGGAAAGAGGACATGAAAAAATGCTTGTCCTACTATGAGTAGGGTAACTTATTTTTGTCTGTAAATGTACCTTGTTAGTCATCTCTGCATTTCATTGCAAAGCTTAATTTTCAAAAAATGACATCACTAATGTTTGGTCCATAAAACAAACAACTTATCCTTGGATGAGTTTATATAACATAGCAGAGTAACAAAAATTCTGTTTCTTTAATATAGATATATATTATATATGCATGTTTTTCATCTTTTAATATAAATTACTTGAAGATCCTGTTGAAATGGAAGTTGTGCTGCCACTGGTCTGAATTGGAGCCTGAGATTTCTAACAAGTTCATAACTGAAGTAGGTGCTGATGATCTACAGATCACACTTTGAATCGCAAGGCTCTCTATGCCCTCTTGCAAGATTAGTATGTCACCGACAATCAGAAACACTTTTGAGATGAAATATAAAGGTGTCCAAGTATTCTGCTTGAATACAAAATCAGTTCTTTGGACATATAGAATATGTTTTATCTCTCAAAGCCTAGAAAACATGATGCAATTTAAAGGAAACAACAGAATACTGTAAAGTGAGACAGCCCTGGACTGTAGCTTCAAATCTGTTCACTACCAAATTCATCCACATGAACACTCTAGACATGATTTTATCCCTGCCATCCTGAGTCAAATAATAAAAATTCCTAGAACTATATTTCTTCAACTGGTGCTAAATTGAAAAATAATAGCTTCCCCCCATAAGATTCTTTCCAAAAAACAAACGTGTAAAATTAGAAGAAAATGATTTGCCACAAATTTAAGAACAGTGATACTTAAGGCAATATAGTCTTGTTGTATTTGCAATCATTTCTTTCGACAACAAAGCCATATTACTAGCTAGATGTAAAGTAATTTGAAACAAAGAGAGATTCTGAACAACAGCATGCAATCACAGCATTATATTATTTTAGATTTGGAAGGCACTTTAGAGAAGATGTGCCTCTTTATTTTACTGCTCAGCTCTTCTTCAGTTTGGATTCCAGCCCTGTCAATCTAGACAAACAGTCCTCATTAAGTCTGACAATGAGTTCCCTGTAACAGAGGCCAAAGGATATTTGTCTATTCTCAATTTATTTGACATTTCCATGGTACCTATGTCATTGGCCTCTCCTTTCTTAAAATATTTTCCTCTTGTGACACAGTGAACTCCCAGTTAGCCTCCTAGTCTATTATTTTAAGAAGGCATGTCTTGACTTTCATAACTCTAATATTTCTCCCTATTACAGGCTATCTTAATACTCTGCAACTTGAATTCATGAACCACATCTGTTGCATATTGTGTGTGTATATGATTATTTGCTTTGTGTTATCATTTGGATCTCAAATGTTCCTCAAAGGCTCATGCAGTGAAGTCTTCATCCCTACTATAGCAAAGGTAGTCTGCCTCAAAATAATCTCATAGAGATGAGGCCAAAAAACTATGAACTCAAACCTTGAAAGCAATTAGCCAAAATAAGTCTTTCCTCCTTTAAGCTGATTCTCTCTGGTATTCAGCTGCAGAAATAGAAGGCTGACTTCACACTTAGATAATTAGCTTGGAAATGAACAGAGATAGCAGACTCAATCCACCATTGTATCCTTATCTGTTCAATGGTAATGATAATAGTCATTGTTGGATTGTGATAACAAAGACTGAATTTTAAATATACACCCAGAAATGTTGCTTAAACAAAATAAAATAGGTAATTATGTATGGTTCACAAATAGATCACTCAAAAATTACTTCTTTGGGAATTAATGAGTTAAAACTCTGATTATTTGAAAAGAAACCAAATTTATTGGCTCAGCAGTCTAGATCATGAGTGAAAACCCAAGTAGAAGACTATGAATCTGATGTACTTGATTCAAATTCCACCTCTTACACACATTGGTTTTGTGACCTTGGACAAGTCATTTAATCTCTCTGAGCTTTATAGTATGTAAAATACAGATAGTATTGTTACATATAAATTTTCTATGTAAAATTCTCTTAAAATTCACAGGAAATCTTAGCTGAGCAAGTGTTTTAGACTCTGTGTGTGTGTGTGTGTGTGTGTGTGTGTGTGTGTGTGTGTGTGTGTGTGTGTGCTGGTCCTGGGGCTTGAACTCAGGGACTGGGTGCTGTCCCTGAGCAATTTTTGCTCAGGGCTAGCACTCTTCCACTTGAGCCACAGCTCCACTTTTGGCTTTTTGGTGGTTAATTGGAGATAATCATGGACTTTCCTGCCCTGGCTGACTTTAAAATATGATCCTTAGATTTCAGCCTCCTGAGTAGCTGGGATTACTGTCATGAGCCATCGGCACAGGACTTGTTTTAGACTCTTATTCTCAGTTCCTGGTATTTACTGATTATTAAAGTTTAAGTTTTGACTTTGTTTCTTGGACAATTCTACTTTCAAGGGCAGTAAGTCATAAGAACTTTGAAAACACCTTATTTGCAATACAATTGAAATCCTAAGTCTATTCCTCAGATGCTTCTAACTCACCAAATTACAATTGGTTGAAGCATATGGCACCTTCATTTAAACTTTTGTCAGAAAAACAAGATTTTGACTTATGCAATGATGGTATAAAGATCAGTGCACACTATTCTGTCTATATGATGCTACATTTAAATTTTAAATAGATATCAAGAAATAGAAATATTCCTTATGAAGCTCACTATCACCTATTGACAAAGAAGCTATAAGAGCATCTAATATTTACATGACACTTCATAGTCTTTGTAGTCTATGCTATATGGAAGAACAGTCATTGATATCCAAATTTTTAATGAGGAATCTAAAGTCCAAGTAAGTTGATCAATTTTCCCTGGTCTATATGATGAAGTGACAGATACTTTTGTATTTACTACCAGGCAACAAATATTTTTTGTATTTACTACCAAAATGAATGGAATAATTTCTCATCATTTGTGACTGATGTTACTTTTCATATCACTAGATGCTTACTCTATATCCACAACTTTTTTAATAGTTATATTCTGATTCCATCATGGTCAGTGCCTTTTCTTGATGGGATTTTTATCACTATTATGTTAATATATACATAAATATCATGAATGGAAAACTTTGATTAAAAGTTTCTAACGCAATTCTTAAAGGAAAGAATGAGATTTCTAAAATATAAAGATCCCTCACCAGGAATCCTACTGAACTCTTATGAATCTTCATAAATAAAGATGGTCCTCTTCAAATACAGGCATTATTCCCTCCATTTGGTACAATTAGGTTGAAGTTAAGAAATCACCTATTAGCTTATAATTGGCACCCTTCTGTCTGAGGCAAATTAGAGAAGGCAAGAAGTTGTTCTATCAAATCTTTAATTATCATGGGATGTTTCCCCACAGAGAACCATAAAGCCAATTTCAAATTAGTGAAATGCTGCTGAATTACAGGAGAGACTCACTCACAAAGAGACCATCTTTTCACTATATGACCCTACGTTAGAATAAATTTCCAGGTAAGAAAACTCTCTGGCATGAGGCTATCTGATCACTATGGTATTCATTAAACCATGCTACTCATGAGACCAATATTAGTGATTACCATTCCTCACTTACATATGATATTGTGTACAGATAGACAGGTAGATGAGAAATGATTTGTTGGAGAGATTGGTGCATGTGATTACAGAAATTAGAAAGGTCCACATCAGGAGACAGGCTGTCTGAAAGATGAAGGTCCTGAGAGACAGGTAGCATGTCTCAATTCAACTCTGAAAGCTGCAGAACAAGAGAAGAGAATTGTGTAACTCTCAGTTTAAGACTGATGACCTGAAAACCCAAGTAATGTAAATGTGGGAGTGCAAGGTCAGCCATGTTGAGTTCTGATGTTAAAGGTCAAAAAAATTCCCAGCTGATTGGATGATGCCCTCCACACTGAGAGCAGCCTTTTCCCATTCACTCTGCTGACTCACACACTCATTCAGAGATACTCTCAGAGCACACCCAGAAAGAATGTTTTGCC